TTAAAAATTGTATTTCCATCTTTGTTGCCACAGATTTGGAAGTGTCTAAAATGATTGTACGCATATGCACAAGTCATTCGTGTTTGGTGATGAGTTTTTTGGCTCATGGTCTGCATTTAAAGTCACACCAGAGGTGTTCAGCTGGGATTAGGACTTGGCTTTCTGCAGACCAGTCAAGTTCTTCCATACTGACTGAATCAATCTTTTTTTTTTTTACCTTGCCTTTGTTCTGTTAGAATAGAAAATGGTCCTGTTCAAACTATTGGTATAAAATTAGAAGCATCCAATCCCCTAGAATAGCATTATATGGTGTTTTTTTTTTTTTTACTAAAAATGTGAAATTACTAAAGTAGTCAAACCTGTTCATTAGAAGGGGGTGTCCCAATACTTTTGGCAATATAGTGTACAAGCCAACCTAGCTATTCAAAATCTGTGTCTGCAATTTAATAATATTGACCTATTACTTTTGCTATTGCTTTTGATCATTAGGTATCAGTAACAATTCATTCAGAACCTGTTTTATGGACATAGACTTTCTGTACCACACTATTCTGCTGATATGGAATGAGTTTGACTACTTAATCAGCTATATTAATAGAAATGCTTCACTGGGACAAACAAAAAAATCCTAAAATAATAAATAGGATACCCCATATAGCAGCATTTCCAGCAGTATCCAACATTTCTCAATCATGATCTTACTCTGCTAAATGTGACTATTAGCTTAACAGCTGTATTCCTTGTTTACTAGCTACCTATGCACATACAGCATACAATGTTAAAAATGTTCTACATTATGAACCGTAACCCAAAAACCTTTAGCTTCATGCACTGTAGATAATTGTGACCCTGCCTGTGGAAACTCAGCTAAAGTATTTTTTTTAAACAGTGGATGAGTAATTCACTCCTTGATTTGCTTAATAAAAGCCTCCTTTGAGATCGTTTTGACAGACATGTTTATTGTGTATTATTTTCAACGTGTTTATTGCTAAGGTTAGTGTGTCAAACGATGGCAAAATAATTAAATAATTCACGTGCAGTGTATCTTCTTGCCATGACAACCTCACGCGCTTCCTGCTGCTACTCTATTTAATAAGAGTATGAGTTTGTAGATTTTCTATAGCTCGGTTTGACCCCCCCCCATCTAATCTCACTCAGTGACTCTAGGCTATGTAGGAGGGGATGAAACTATGCAGTGAATGGGGGTGGGGGGTGGGGTAATTTTGCTGGAAATGCAGAAATAAGCCGTAATTTTGTTTTATTTGTAACTCTTTGGTAGATACATTTATAATTTCTATTACATTACTACTATTACTGTTACTACTAATAAAATAGATCTCTTGGGGCCCCAAAATTGCGTGGGTTCTTCCTATCGTCCTAACTTTCCCCCCTCTTAGCGGCGCCCCTGTGTGTATATATATATATTTGTGTGTGTAATGTGATTTTATTCAGTAGCTTGGTACCTAAACGGTGTATTGTCCTTGGGATTGGAATTGGCCAGCCAATGTGAGAAAAGAACTTTGTTACACGGCCATCTCAGAAATCTGTTTATAAATGTGGTCAGCGGGAGGATTTCTGTGAAAGAGCAGTGGGACTAAACAGGTTTATAACTCCTTTGTGGCATATGTAATCAAAGTTTAGAGTTCAATCCTTTGTATGAGTGAGTTTGATCAAAGCTGATTTTCATCTGGCTGATTTTTCTTCAGCCTAAAGGATGAGCAGGAAATCAGGCTGAAATCTCACAGGGCTGTCCTTGCTTTCCCTTCTTTTTCAGCCTCTATTATCTCCCTCTCTTACCCATGAGAAGGTAACTGAGCAGGAATACACGCAAGCAAACAGTAGGAGGAATAGAGCCCTTTCTCTCTCTCTCTCTTTCTCTATGGGAGGGCAGCTTCAGGGCTACATTCAGCCCTTGTGGCTTCTCCTAAACACTTGCACGCCTGTCAGTGAAAAGAGAGAGAATATGGAATGAGGAAAAAATAAGATATAAAGATGCAACTGATATCCCTCTGAGGCATTGGGTGTTTGTTTTTCATTGTGGGTGTCCTGTTTCCAAAAGCTGTGATTCTGTAGGCCGTGCACTGCTCCTTACAACCGTCCGTTGTTTGAAACACATTTTTCAGCAGATGGAGTTTGTCCACATACAGGAGGTCGGGTAGACAACAGAGCCAAGTTCACAGCAACCAACCTGCCAGGAAAGAACAGTGCATGACAGTGACATGACTGATGAACCAATCACCCAGCCCAGGGTTGGTTTACTTGAGAAAACATGACGCCGAAGGAATTTCATAACAAGAGAATTAAGCATTCTGAAAGCGTTTGTTTCGTTTTTGGCCTCTAGCGTGGTCTCGTGGTTACACAGCATGTGTGTGTTTGTATGCTGCAGTCACATCAAAGCATCTTTGCGTCGGATGAAGTTTTAGCTGCTTTGGTTAATGAATGGATGTCTTGTCATTGTCTACAGTAGCAACACAGTTCAAAGACCCCAGTGAGTCAGTATATAAAAACTTGTAAGCTTGAAAGTTCAGTTTAGTCCCTGTCGTCAAGCTTCTGATGCGTATTATCGAATTGAGGCTGATCTAACAGTACATTCTCTTCAAAATACACAACTGGTACAGCGCACGTTTTTAACAAGGAATAGGCACAGTAAATATTCGTCTCTCTTGGACATTGATCCATGAATAATGTCGGATGTGCAAATTTCAGCTGCCATGACGGCTGTTTTATTTCATTAGCCCCTTAGTTCCTGCCAAAGTGGGCCCTGATGCTTGGATTTAGCCACGATTGGGCCGAGAGCTGTGCGGAGAGGGCTTTAGTAGAACGCCGTCCTATCCCAGCACTTCTTGTCAGGAAATTCAGACCTGACTGGTTTATTCGAGTGGCCAGGACAAAATCTTTACCATCTGCACCTTTCAGGCATTAAACTGTGCCTGCTTTATCTCTAATGGGGAAATCGAAGACAGTCCCTTTGGGATCCGAGTGAAAACACACACACACCACCATAAAAGCATTCTGCACATAAACACCCTCACACTAACACTCAGACACACACAAACACGAATAAACACACTCATCCAAACACTGGGGCACAAACAGACATTCATAAACACACTCCCGACCACTCACAAAGAACATGTGCTCCAACACACATACACACATCAGAAGAAAGTGTCTCTCTCTCTTTATGCTATGTGCTCTGGCACGCCATGCCACCTCCTATTAGTGTGTTTTCAGTTCAGTTTGAATTTTGGGCTTTATTTACTTTAGGTTCGATTGGTGAAATCAACCATTTGTGACATTTTATGCGTTTTCAGATGGAACTCATAAATAGGAAATATCTAAGAGCTTTGGACAGAGCGAAATATTCTGATATCAGTGATCCAGCATAAAAGCGCCTATTTTAGAACCTCATAGCACAGGGAATATGGATTGTCCTGACCTTCCGTTTTACACGGAAGTTAGAACTCTGATCAACGACATGTAATGAGAACGCTGTCTCTCTGAAGACATCAAAGCAGAAGGGAGAGATGGAGAGACATAGAAGGGAAGAAACTAACATTAAGTGGGGGAGAGTGGGGGCAATTGTAACATTTTCCTTCATAACTCACAGGTTACTGCAAATCTACCTTCCATCTTTTGGTTTAAGAAACATTTCTATGTTCCAAAAATTAACTACCATTCAGAGACTCATAATGGGAGGTCAGAGGGTTATAATCACACCCATTTCATTAACTGTATCACTTGCCATCTTTTTAGTTTAAATAAAAGCACACAATTAAATAATAATAATTGCTTTAATATTTAGTAGTTTAATATTAGAGTAGTTTCCACCATAATATGCATTTAAAACAAAAGTCCAAGTGGGACTTACATTAAAATAGTATACTTCAAATCTTAAAAGTATATTTTAAAAAAAGGAACAAGACAATATAATATTAACATAAAAGGCCACTTAGTTGTACTTTGTAATGTAATATTAAAAGTTTTATTTAAAAAAAAGTTTTACTTTAAATCAGCGTTTTAATAACATTTTGTCTTGCATTGTAATGTGCATTCTGCTTGCACTTAAGTATATTCTTTTATTTCCATAATAAGTGCTCCTTTTAAAAGTATTATAAAGTGTACTACTTTTTCAAACTATTCCAAACTAGATGTTTTGATGGAATAATGTTCAGTTTTATTACATAACTTGTTACAATTGCCTTGACCTCAGTCATAAAAATCTTACAGAACAAAAGTATTACCAAAAAAAAACATCTTTTTATATCTAGTTTTATTAAATATCTCACCAAGTGAAGCATTTTCTCAAACAGATAGATATCTTTACTGAGCATGTGTTGAATAAGTGTCATCACTCTGCCTTATTTGTAATTGAAGAAATTTAGTGTTACAAATTGTCCCTTGTTGCAATTGTCCCCAGTCTCTCATATGCTTCATTTTCTGGATTAATGACACACAAAGATAAACATGCATACACAAATTGTTTAAGTGTGTTTTGACTTTTCCCAGCTTGGGAATCTCAAAGCCGTGTAGTGATGATGCTGTGTTATTTTCTGCACCCAGGTCAGTTAAAGGATACGATCCAGACAGTGGATCTCTTTCACTGCACTGTCTGCTTGATTTTTGCCTCTTGTCTAATATCAGCAGGGGTCTGTGAGACCCCACATGTGTCCTCTTTAATAACAAGAGCAGGGCTGAGTGTGATTATTTCCTGTAGAAACTGTAATGGTTTTATCATACAAATTTATACTTCTCTCTCTCTCTCTCTCTCTCTCTCTCTCTGTGTGTGTGTGTGTGTGTGTGCGTGTGCCTACAGCATTTTTTAAGTTCTTTTCTCACTCTCTCTCATACCTGTTCAGACCCTTTAGACATGGTTGTGCCTTGCTGGGATCAAAATAAATTTTAAGTCTTTAGAACTGAAGACTTTTTCAGTTTTGCTGTGGTATTAAATGGGTCATATGATGCGATTTCAATTTTTCCTTTCTCTTTGGAGTGTTACAAGCTCTTGGTGCATAAAGAAGATCTGTAAAGTTGCAAAGACTAAAGTCTCAAATCCAAAGAGATATTCTTTAGAAAAGTTAAGAGTCAGCCACGCCTTCCTAAAACGGCTAATTCTAACACGCCCCCACATATCTACGTCACTATGTGGGAAGATTTGCATAACGCCGCCCAAATGTTCACACAAAGAAAGAAGGCGTAACTTTTATTCTCGCTGTAGTATTGTTGTTGCCGCCGCCATGTCGTTAAGGCACTGTGTGATTCATTGTGAAAGCCAAACTACTTTGTTTGGCCTTCCAAAAGAGGACGATATCTGCTTCGTCATGCCTGGAGCTGATCCGTGCTGGTCGCTGAGTAAATTTCACCGTGGACGAAGCGGAGTCCAGCCCGGGGTCGTCACATGTGGTTGCCGCAAGCCCGCCGGACGCTCCTTCGTCGAATCCGACGCCTCTGCTCACACTTATCACTGCACACCTCACTTTTTTAGAACGATGAGCTTTGTAAAAATCGACGCGTTTCAGAAAGACGGGGCATAGAGGAGAAACAATAATGTACAGTATGTGGAAAATAATGTGTTTTTTTAACTTTAAACCGCATAAACACATTTCATTACACCAAATACACAAAATAATGTTCTTTTTAGCAACATTATATGACCCCTTTAAAGTTGAGAGTGAAATGGATTATCGAAAAAGAAAAAATGCAGGACAGTGACTTGGTTCTTATCGTTTGTTGATTGGATAGAGGCATATCTGAATGCGAGCTTGAGGTCAAATTTAAGAATTTAAGCAGACCAAGTGATTGGGGAAGTCTGCCACCAGAGAGAAGCTTCACTGGAAGATCGAGCTTAAAAAAAGAGAAAAGGAACCATATGCATGAATGATTTGTTCACAGTAACATCAAAAAGATACATTTAAAAAGGGTGAAAATAGAAAATGTGCTTGGAGATTAAGAAGCAGAGTGTTATTTTATTCCTGAAATTTGTTGTTGAAACATCCACAAGTACATACTGACAAGTTTTTTTAATGAGTTGTAAGGGGAGGATTAAGAGTGAAATATCCTCAGATATCCTACTGAAGCCGTCATTTTAAGTGAATGTGAAGAAAGATCACATAATTACAGATTTTTAGATTGTTGACGACTGAGGTAATTATGGAGTTTTAGAGGGGCTAAGATGAAAGATGGGTAGCTGAAGCCCCTGTAAACATGGTCTAGCAGTGAGTGTTATCAAAAAAAAAAAATCATAATTTGCACACGCTCTTATAGTTCTAGCCCCATAATATTCTATATCTTTCTTTGGTCAAACACAAAATGGAATGTTAGTTAAAATGTCCAAGCTTCTCATTTCAATACAAAAAACTTGATGTTGATTTACTTTTAATATTTCCCAGAAAAAAAGAACATTATACATGATTGGAACTACGTGACTGCGAGTAAACAATGACAACATTTTCACATTTGGGTGAACCATCACTTTAATATCAACAAAGGGTGCACACATCATTTTTACCCATCGTGTACGATGCTATGATAAATATTTTATTCTAAGCTGTCTTCCATACAATCAAATGGAAATTAACTCGGGTTGTGTAAAGCATATGGTTAATTTTTTCTGAACGGAATCCTTCATCAGATGCTGGAATCCTCCAAGCAGCAGAGCCGAATGGTAAACACACAGGGTACTTTAAGGCCATTATGTTCTCCTCTCCCTGGAAATGATTTCTAAACACTGTCGTAAATCCCAACACTCGTCACGGAGGCCATACGAGAGCCTTCTCCTACTTCAGACTCAGATAAACACTTCAAAGGCGACCGGCGGCTCAATTTGAGAGTGGCATTATATGTAAGGCATGTTGGATTGAGACTTCCATATGTAGTACTGCCCTGGGCCAGTCCATATGTGTAATTCCACATGTTACCTCCTATGTGCGGGATGTGGCTTCCGTAGCGTCCCCACTGGGTACGCTTTCCCAGTGTTATCCAATGCACCACTGTATGGAACAGCAGTGGCGGTCACCTCTGCCTAGCCGCTGTCCTATCTTCCGCCCCAGCTGGTGTGGGGGGACTTGCCGGCTTCCGCAGGGCACTGGAGGGGGTCAGCAATAGTGGCGTTTTCCATACGGATCCCAATTCGTCAGGCACTGACGTAACGTTGAACGTGGCTGACTGAATGGGAACGTCTAGGTTACTTGTGTAACCCTCGTTCCCTGAAGGAGGGAACGGAGACGTTACGTTCCGTTGCCACAGTTGCTGTACCACCGCTGTACGGCCGGGGCACGTAGTCTCGGCTCCTCAGCGAAAAACTGATGTGCGTTTGCACGCGCTCTCCTTTTATACCCGCGCTGCGGGGCGGGGTGCGCGTGGCGAAGCACACACGCCAACTGTCATTGGCTTGTTTAGTTAACACTCGAAGGTGATTGGGCTCTCGGGCGAGATCCCAATTCGTCAGTCACTGACGTAACGTCTCCGTTCCCTCCTTCAGGGAACGAGGGTTACACAAGTAACCTAGACGTTCTGCCCTCCCATGCATCACATCTGGAATTTTTTTTTTTTTTTTTGTTGTATTTCCTCATGTTTTGAGTGTCATTGTGTCCAGGTGGTCATGTTAGTAGCATAGGTTTCATTTGATTCCTGGTTTTTAAACCTTTAAAAAAATGGCTATTCAATTACAGACTTGCTGCCACACTAGTTTTAAGTTTAATTTATATGACAGAAGTGTGATGAATGAAAAAGAACATGTTATTGATATTTGCTTACAATATAAACATTTTGTGATATTCTGTGTGATTTCAATATGGAATGGAGGCTTTTTAATCAATGCATCTCATCAGTAATCATTGCTGTTCGCATCTTTGTATCTATCACACATTCTTTCATACTTTTGAATAGACACTGTAATGTATAATTAATGCACTGACAGCATCTAAACTATAAGAATATTAATACAATTAATAGTTTGATTGTATTGTTTATTATTTCTTTATGAGGTTAATTAAATAGGCCATGCAGTTTATTTACACACTGCTTAATTTTTACTTTATGTTCTGTGTGATTTTTTCAAGGTATACATTTATTGGTAATACTTTAGATTAGGGGATATGAATCAATATGAGCTAGTTGCTTATTAGTATGCATATTACTAGCATATTGGTTCTGTTTATTAGTACTTATTAAGCACATATTAATGGATATTCTAGACACCTTAACCTATACCCAATACCAAAACATAACTACTAAAATGACTACCTTACTCACTATCAATAAGCGGCAAATTTGAGTTTATGGAGGGAAAACTTAATAGTGAATATGTGTTCCCTAATCTAAAGTTTTACTCTTTTTTTTTTTCTCAGTTCATGCATTCCTTAGTAATAGAACCCATGACATGCTGAACTCTTTGAGCTAATAAGTATATTTATAATATAAATTCACTGCTTTTTAAATTTCTAAAGCTGTGTACACATAAATACTTTTAGGTTTAAGATGTTGTCAAAACTGTACTTTCATCAGCAAATGTACAAACATAGCACCTTCAAGCACCTCCGCTCACAAAAAACTGCTATATTGTTTCAGCTCCATCAAACACAAACGCTTCACCTGCTCGTGCCAAAAGAGCCAAACCATGTCCCCACTGTTTTAAGTGTAAAAATTACTCTTTTTACACTTTAGGGAGGATGTCAGTGAATGATTTGGGCGTCTCTGAGTTTTTCTTGGCCTCAGATGATCACTGTTTTGCTGCTTTGATGACTTGCTTTTGTGTAAAGGGTCAGCACTGAAAGGAGAGCTTTGCGAGGGAAATGAAACATTGGTCATTAGGATGAAATCCAGCTTCACTCCCTCTCAGCTGATACATTACCAAGTGATTAGTGAATAAATTCATCTTTAATATTCATTTGCATGTGCAATCCGGTAATGTCCATTTATTGCATTGCTCGGGTCAGGAGCGACATTCATATACGTTAAGAATGCGTATAATTCTTAGACTCGAGAGATTCCGTGAATATTACTTGACACCATTAGGGCACTTTATCTTGAATATGTATAGCTGGCGTTGGCAGCACAACAATGTTGAAGGTGTAGATAGATATTCATCTCTACAGAGAGGTTCATCTCAGTCCATAGGCTGCCATGAGAGCGAGTGCAGTGTCTCCATTGTCTAACAAGGCAAGGAACTGAGTCCAGATTTAGTCAACTTGTCAAAAAATTAACGTAATCTGCACAATGAGCGTTGTTTACGCTTAGGGGAAAGCGTGTGTATGCATTGTGATACTCTCTAAAATGGAGGAAGACGTAACTCTGGGGAGAAGAATTGTTGAAAAAATTTTTATTTTTATTTTCTTTGTGCTCAAAAAGTATTCTCGTAGCTTCGCAAAACTGAAGTTGAGCCATTGATGTCACATGGACTGTTTTACTGATGTCCTTACTACGTTTCTGGACCTGGGAACATTACAGTTGCGTTGCTGTCTATGCAGGGTCTGAGAGCTCTCACATTTCATCAAAAATATCTTAATTTGTGTTCCTAAGATGAACAAAGGTCTTACAGGTTTGGAACGACATGAGGGTGAGAAATTAATGACAGCATTTTCATTTTTGGGTGAACTATCCCTTTAACAATTTTTTTTTTTTTGTACAACAAAGTTGTTTTTTATGTAACATGAAGCTTTTTGGTATTGAAGCTGTTTCTTTGATTAGGACAACACTACCATTTTCTTGATATTTCAGCAGTAAAGACCTGTATGCAGTATTCTGACATCTCTTTAGAACAAGGAATTTGAGAAATTAATGATGCTTTTGAATTCTTTATACTGTGTTTCAGTTGATCAAAGGTGTTCCAGTCAACTCACTCACTCACTCACTCACTCCACTCCACTTTCTCCA